TTTTAAGGGTAGAACACAATAATATGCAGAATGGTAATACATAGAGAATGTTGCATTGATTAGTTAAATGAATACTCATGAGTAGTGCATTTGGTTGAAGTTACTAACATAGTGAACGTGTTATGATATATAAGCAGGTGATTCTGTTTATACTTTCCATTCATGGGGGTATATATGGGCTTATGTAATATCTCAGAATCTATATATGTGAAACCGTACAAATTGTTGTGTTGTAACAGCATTTCTCCTACTTTTCTGTTTGCGATAAGAATAAACCTTATCTGATACATATTGGTAGGAGCAATCTATAACAACTGAGGATCAAGATATAGTAAGACCACCTAGATCCATTAGTAAAATTGAGGTTTCAAGGACGCCTGCGGCACCTGTGAGAACGACATACGCCATAGCAACATCCATTATGGAAGCACTTGTCACGGGAACAACGTATACACCCCCTTTTCTATTTCCTGCCTTATGAAAGGTTCTGCAATAAACTATCGACGTATAATCCCCTTATATCCATAAATTCTGTACAGTCCGTTCTCGTCCTGTCCCTCACCGCCGCTCCATACGTCGCCCGTCCCGCACGCACACACACACACGCCTCGTCTACACTGGCCGTCGTTGCTACCGCTACCGCTACCACTGCCGTCGTCGCCACTGTGCTTGGCTCCACGAGGGCGATGCGCCGTGCTGTTGTGCTGTTGTTCCCCCCCGCGTGCGCGTGTTGTGGCAGTGGCGTGTGTGGCAGTCCATCCATATTCGTAGCGGCCGTAGCATTTGTTGAGCATGCGTAATCGGCCGTATTCGGCAGTATTCGTAACATGCGTGTTCTTACCTTGCAGGTTTTCAATTTCCTCTTGTACCTTGTCCTTCGCTTTCTCAAACACCTTTTCTGCTGTCTGTAGTATTTGTTGGTGCAGTCTCTTCTTTTCGTTCATGCCCTCTGTGGTCAAAATTGTCTCGATAGGATCCCCTTTCGTTGCAGCCTTCTTAATATACTGTTGCCAGAGCTGCTGACAGGGCATTTTGTGCTCCAGTTGCTTTAATTCTTCCAGTATTCCTCCTTTATCCATTAACCAGTATGCTATGTCCAAATTTATTGCTGTTACATGCTTCTTATTATCTTTGTACCCACACATGGTGCACCTGCCATCCACAACGGGGCCCCTGAGCCCTGGTGCACCATTCGTTGCGTGCCCCATTTCTTTCATTGTTTGCCAAGCATACTCTATACCTCTTGGCCATGGTGTCGTATCTTTACAATACATTTTTTTCAGCAAGTGCCCGAAAACATGGGCCACTTCACATCTTAGTCTTTCTATCTCTTTCTTTTGATCTTCACTCTTTTTCGCCCACTCTTCCTGATTAGTCCCCGCACCGTTCGCAAACCACAATGCACCGGACATGAGTCGGCAGCGCATCATATCCGCTACTCTCTGTCCCGTATAGTATGCAACGTCGTCGAAATCATTCCAACCTGTATTGTCACAGTTGGCACCAAGTGCGTCAAAATTTTCATTATTGGTTCCTAAATACTTAATAAACTCTTCCAACACTTCCTTCACCGGTTTCCATTGTTCTTTCTATATGTTGAACATAAACACACATAAGTATTCATGCTCATACACTACCTACATTCGTTGCTGCGGATGTATGCACACCTCCACACATATGTATGCGCCCTATAAACTAGTCATGCGGTCGCCCTAGTGCTCTTTCTTCCTCTTCCGTGCTCTCTGTAGCTAACTTACAGTATAATTCTGCACCACGTATATTTCCCGAGGCGTCCACTCCAATAATTTGTCTCCCTGACATTCCGTTGCTTTGGCATCTGCGGTACCGATCGCCTGCGTGCCCCCTGCGCCTGACGGTGCCGGTTTCGCCGCTACTGGTTTGGCAGAGGTGCTGTGGACGGGCTTGACCGGTTGTGTGTTTGCAGGGGCGGGTTTGCTAACGGTTTGCGCAGTTCCCGATTCCCCCGGTCCCTCTCTGCCCCGAACGTCTGGTGATGATGGCATGGATGGTCCGCTTGGTGGTGGAGGCGGAGGTGGTGGCGGTGCTACGTCGTCTTTAACTTTTGGAGCCGTCGAAGCGGAGTCCTTGCCCTGCTTCACCTTCTTTATTATAGAATCCATACTTTCTCCCGCACTGGAGGAATCTAGTTCCTTTAGTATCTGCTTTACGACTGCTTCCAGTGCTGTACCTACTTCCTCAATTTTGTTATTCGCTCTATGTTTTATCTCTATCACCTGTTCCTCATTTGTTCCTACTGCGCCGTTGTCTCTGTCTACTATGCATTCCTTCCCTAATACTCCCCAGTCCCCATCGCTCAAGTAGCGCTTATTCCTCTGAAGCCATCTGTGCATTATGTCCCATGGATCCCATTCTTCCGTTTTTTGTCGTTTTTTCTTTGTACCGTCCGTCCTGTCCGCCTCCTCACATTCCATATTGGGCTCTGCTTTTTTGCCCTCCCGCACCAATGCTGTCGCAGCCTTAAATGCATGGTTGCCAAGAGGCGTGCGCAAACAGTTTTCTCCTATTATTTTTTTCATAAATATATTCACTAAAATACATTTCATATATGGCATTACGGCATTATTCTGCTTTTCCGGTTGTCCCAGAGTATTCGCATGCATGGGGGGCGCGCGCCAAAGGATCCCATGTTTGAAACCTAATGCTTTAAGTGTTAGCCAGCACACAGCTTTATCTTTGTGACTGAATGTGTCCGATGACTCCGCCCCTGCATCTGTAGTGTGGTGCGTGTCACACAATGTCTCTATCGTTGCATCATCGCTGGCATCCTCCATATGTTGTTTAAACGTCTGCCATACTGTGTGCACATGTTCCCAGAAAGTTTTCTGTAGGTACATGGTTCAAGATATATGCATATATGAACTATACTACGTTCACTAGTTACCGTTCCTATATATAACTGTTCAAGTCATTACACTGTCCCCTGTTGTATATATATATCGCCGTGCCTGGGACAGAACTTGCAGGAGCTGATAATGTGAACGTGCACATGTTGCTTGCTGTACGTTCTGATGCTGCCCTAATATATTCATGTGTTCCTATTTAGGTGTTCCCTCTAATTCATCATATATGTGCACTTACCTGAAAAGTCCTATCATCCTTCCTCACGCCTGTGTCCCCCTTCCCAATGTAATCCTTCCATAATATATCTAAATAGTGGGCCATGCTGTCCCAAATTAGATTACATAATATGTGGATTCATTGGGTTGGTCACGTAAATTGTGCATTAACTGAACACTACCCCGCAGAACTACAATTTGCGTCATAGGTGCTTTAATTGCTGCATACTTAGATTATTCCGTCCTTACTGTATCCCTTAATAGCAATACTGTGAACATAAATCCTGGACCCGAGGAACCCGTAACCACAAATACCGCCGTTAACAACGAATACCGTCGTTAACAACAAATACCCCCGTTAACAACAAATAGCCTCCGTAACCACAAATATCCCCTTGTACACTAATACAAGTGAATCAGAAGTCCCCGTCCTGCCTCCCACAAAATATGTGTGTTCCTTCGCCTGCGCCTCCCGCTCTCTGCTCCCTCCCTCGAATCCGTTTTTTGGGACCCCTTGCTCGGAGAGACAATGTCTCCTCCGTCTTACACTCGGCTACTTCGTCGAATCCGTCTTACTCGGCCGCGTTTGCTCGTAGAGACAATGTCTCCCTCCGTTCTTACACTCGGCTACTTCGTTGAATCGTGCGTACACGAGGCTACTGCGTCGAATCGTTGTTACACCCGGCTACGTCGTCGAAGCGCGTTTGCTCGGAGAGACAATCTCTCCCTCCGTTCTTACACTCGGCTACAATGCGGTTTACCCGGCCGCGGTTGCTCGCAGACAATCTGCGGTCTTACTCGGGACAATGCTTCCATCGGTGCCGCGCACGTCTGACGCGGCTACGTCGGCGCATCGCGTACTTGAACCGCTGACTCGGCCTGCGTTGCTCGGAGAGACAATCCTCCTCCTTCTTACGCTCGGCCACGTCACTTGGCCACGTCGTCGAACCCGTTACGGGGAAAGGCGCATGTGCTCGGCCACAAGGTCCCGTCTTACTCGGCCAGTGCGTCGAACCCCTTACAGGGAGGGCCGCGTGTGCTGGGCGACAATCTGGCTGCAGACGGGACCGTGTTGTACGAGGTTACGTAGTTTGCAACTGGTGTGCGTGCGTGCTCGCGCACGCGCGACCGCACAGACAAATGCGCGTGGATGTGATGTTTGTACAACGTGTAGGTCGTTCGTATCGAGGTGCATACCAGCTATAGTGCACGAAAGTTTGTTGTAGGAACAGGGGCGGCGTTTGTGTGTGTTGCCAAAGGCACCGCACCCGCGTGCTGCCGCCGTCGGCGCCGCCTCCGTAGGTAGCTCCAAAAAAAAGCACGACAAGAAACGCACAACAAGGAGAAACAAAAGAATGACCACAAGCGCACGACGCATGTGAGTGGCGCGACGTCGCAGACGTGGATAGAGTATACGACGTGTGTACAGCAGTGTGTGCGGCGTCGCAGACGTGGATGGAGTGTACGACGTGTGTACAGCAGTGTGTGCGGCGTCGATGACGTGGATAGAGTGTACGACGGTGCTGACGAAACGTCCACAGAGTGTACGGCGTCTCCGCGAGTCAAGCAATGCAGCGAATGTATGTTACCACTAGAAAAAAATGTTACTTAAATCTGTGGTCAAATCTTTCAGTGTGTCTAGGAACTGTGTGTCTCCTTGTATGGTACTGAGGATATGTTGGGTCAATTGGTGTGTGGTTTTCTTTAAGTCTATCGTGTTGTTAGTATTTCCTGCGAGCAGCGCATGCGCGTTTTTATCCGTGAACGGTTGTTGTGGCTTTTGTGATGCTGATGGTGGTGTGGATGGTGTGCTGTTGCTTACACTACTATCCGCGTTGTGTTGTGTTTGTTGTTGCGTGGCCGCTTTCGACGGGTCCAATGGCGACGGCCCGGATGGGGTGGATTCGTTCGTGTCGGATTGGCCGCCGTGCGCAGGTGTATGCAGTTCCGCCTCGTCATCTCCTCCGTCGTGCTCCTCATCGTCCTCGTCGTTGACGTCGTCCAACTGCTCCTCCTCCAACACTTTGTCCAATGTTGCGTCGTCCAACTCGCTTCCATCTGCGTTTGCCTCGTCGTCTGCGTCGTGTGATGACGACGGATCGGTTTCTTCCATAAAATCTGGCTCTTCGTTTTCTAGATATTCGATTTCGGGCAACACTTCTTCGTCTTTATCGATATAGGCATCTTTGGGCACGTTGGTCATGTC